TAGATGGCCGCTCACAGGCTTTTAAGACCCCAGACACTACTCACCAAGGTAGAATGTAGAGCACTGTCTTTATAAGCTGTGTCATGCCAATTGAGCTAGATGTTCAGTTTGGGGTATTTTTAAGGCCCGGAACTGTCATCTTCCGTTGGAGGGGAGGCTCTGCAGGTAGCATTGTGCTCTCCTTTTGTAAGCAATTGTAAGTTCTACCATTCTGCATGCATGGCTTCCCAGGCTACAAAACTGCGTGGTGAAGCTGAAAGCAGTGAAATACTAACTCTGCCGTACAGCTCCCCGTCAAATCATCGTTGCATGCAACAAGATGTGCTTTTATTTAAATCCTCTCAACCTGGTTAACTATTAATAGAGGAAAGATGGATTATGTAATTCTGTCCACTATTTTCACAGAGAAAACTTACAGTACCCAATCAGTGGTTGGTGGTATAATTCTATCTTCTTCGTATCATTTCAAATAGCTCTAGTATTGTCAATAAAGGCAAAGAGACTAGGAAGCCCCCTTTAGAATCTCAAGAAGAAAACACCAGGATGGAAGGCCAGATCAGCCCAGCCTGGCGGGGTGTTATGGGCTGGATTTTGACCAAAAGCAGAAGACCAAAAAAAAAAAAAAAACACAGAATACAAAGTATAGGTAGGGTCAAAGTGAGAAAGGAATTAAAAAGTCAAATTTGAATGTGCAGAACCGACATAAAGATCACCTCCCCACATTCCTAATAATACCCTTTTTCTTATTTAAAAACAAACAAAATCCCAGTTCTAAAATGAATCCAGCAAAACATCTGACTCCCTGGTGGTCTCTAGGTGTGTGCTGTTAAGGGGGCTGAAAGCTTATTTGCTAAAAAAAAAAAAAAAGATACTGTGGTATCATCTCTTTGACTCGAGGCAATATGACTTAAATATATCTGTTTTTCTTAAGAAGGAAAATACCAATTTGTGAGGACCCATGAACACATTAATAGTCTTTATGATGCAGGCTGAGGGCCGTCTAGCAAGGGGAGGAAACCTACACAAAAAAGGCTGGGCAGAGAAGTTTTGATGTGAGCAGGTGGTTATGAAAGGATGAATGAGGAAGAGAACCACTAAGGAATTTCTGGAATTTCTTGGGGAGCCAGGAGCTATTTGAGGACCCTTAACTTACCATGGTTAACAACGAAAAAGCAGGATCGGGAGCCTACCACGGTCAGCTGAAGAGATGAGTGACCTAATCCATAGTTTTACCCTAGGCTAGCCTGACAAACAGAATCCTTAAAAAGCAAACATCCTAGCATGGTGTTAGATCATGACTGTTTCCCTGGGATTAGTGTTTTCTGAATGAGACCCCCACGTGTCAGTGGGAACGCAGATGATTAAAGATGAGGCACTGAGTTACCTGCCACAGTGGCAAGAAATGTTGACCAGAATATTGCCCAAATGGCTTCCGTTTTCAGGAGGTCCCACAGAAGAGGTCATGATGCAATTTTACTTCTTTTAAAATGAACAAGGAGTAATTTTTGCTTGGGGCTCCAGAATATAAATTTATGACTTTGGGATGAAGCATCTTCTAAAAAAAAAAAAAAAAAAAAAAAAAACAACTGGCAAATCAGTTGGATCATTCCAGCTGCGCCAGAGGCAGGATCTGACAGCTTTTCCTGAGCTCATGTGGTCCTAATCAGCTCAAGAAGGAAAGCCACCTTGGTGCCAGTTTGGAAGAGATTTTTAGTTTGTAATAAATTGCAGAACTTTAAAAAAACACAAAAACTTGTTCGATTCTCTTTAATCCAGTGGCTGTTGTTTATATTTTCAAGCTTTAGCTTTAAGTAGCAGAGAGAAACGAGAGAATGTTTGTACCAGTCTACTTTATAAAAATCACTTTTATGGGGAAAAACAGAGATAAGCACAATATAAGTCATCTGATAGGGAAGTCCTTAAAAATAGTTAATTGTCCCTTGACAAGAGATAGATACTCATCAAATCAATGAGCCCAGGAGAAAATTCATAACCACATACACAAAACTAGTAAGGGAAGGAAGCAAAGGGAGAGGAAATATATATGTGGACCATATTTTGAATCTCATGCCCATAATAGGGGTCAGAGTACTTCTAACACATAACCCAACATTTTCTCTTTGGTTTATCCCTAAGTTTACTTTCTGCTCTCCAAAATTTTTGTGTAGAAACAGTATGCGTGTCCCTCACTGAAGTCACCGATTATATCACAACATTTCTAGAATTAAGTTCTTGAAAGTCAATCTAATGATTACCATAGAAATTCATTTTGATTTAAGTATTTGAAAATATTTCAATGGCATTTTCTTAGATTCTGCAGAGTAAACGTGAAGCACAAGGAAAGGCTACATTCATTTTTTTCATGGGTTCACTTATGATTTCAAATGACCCCAGATAAAATTGTGAATGCCTCTGCTACCAAGTGAGAACATGTGCTTTTTCACTGTGAAGTGCAGGGTGTAACCAATTGCTTTTGGCTGTTTTTCGTCTAAGGAAAACCAAGAAGCTGTCGTCAGCACTCCCCACAACCCTAAGCTAAAATTGCCCTAAGACTTACAAACAGTACTCTGAAGAGAACAGAGGTGACCCCACAGCAGTGAGAAAAGTACAATGGAAACAGAACTTAAGTCCTCCTGGTTGAACTGATGCAACCTTGCTTATCTGACAATTAGAAAACCATGAGCAAAGTGTCCTTTTGGCTATTAGAGTGAAAACACAACCCACCCGTAACTATAAAGAGAGCTGCATACACAGGTCAATCAAAAGAAAATTACAGAGTGCCTACATTTTAGAACAAGTGACCTTTACATCAAATACATGCTT